CTGATGTACATAGAGATATACACGGGTTACAATAAGGGATACACATGTGGAGTCGTCTTGAACTTGAGTTTTCAATCTGAAATGTGTTATACAAAGAAGAAAAATAAAATTTTGATAAACTGTTTTGATATACACATTATTATTTTGTTATACATTGTGATATATAAATAATATAATTATTACTTATTGATTAAAAAAGGAAAATAAATTCTTGATATAACATGTTTAAGCAAATTCTAAAATATAACAATAATAAATATAATTGTGGGAGTAAATAATATTTTGGTATACAAAGAAAATTAATTTTTGATATACACAAAGAAGAAAAATAAATTTATGATATCTGTTTTGGTATACACATGTCTGATGTGCTATACACTATGGTATACAAATAATACAATATTTTTATTGTGATATATATTGATATAAAAGCAGCAATAACTATATATATAATTTTATATTATTGATATACAAAGAATAATATTATTTATATACAAAGAATGAAAATGAAATTTTAATATACATGTTAATATAGACAAAGAAGAAGAAGAAAGTTGTGATATACATATTATTATAGTGTTATATATTTATTGGCTATTTGATGCCAATATCTATAACTATGGCTATTTTCTGCCAGTTATATGGGTATGTTGTTATACCATGCCAAAATCCCATCCGCAAATACCCCTTGATCATCAAGAATTGGACCGTAGGGGTGAGCATTCGGTATTTCGGTTCGATACTTCGGTATTCGATTTATCAATTGTGTATACCAAATACCGTACCAAAATATTTCGGTACGGTTCGGTATTTCTTATTTTGGTTCTGTACGATTTCGGTATACTTTCGGTTTAAACCAAATCTTCACTATCTCCCCCACTCCATTAACTAACTTAATTTGAGTTCATTTAATATTGGCACACTCTGAGTTACATGCAATCAGAGGCGGATTTACTGTGAAATTTGTGGTTCACGTGAACCCATGGTCCCTCGGCTAAAATATGTATATGATGTACATAATTTGCAAAAAAGTAGTTATATATATTTGATGGCACCCATGGTCAAAAAGGGTGAAGTGGTGCACTGGTTTTGCCTTCTTATTCCTAAAAGCCTAAGGGCAAGGGATCGAATCCCTGCTTGGCTTTTTGGTTATTTTATTTGTTTTTCTTAAATCTTTTTTTTCTCTTTCTGTTATAAATAGAATTCTATTTAAGGTGAATGTCTATATTTAGAGAGATTCTAGGGTTCATTGCTTGGTGGCTAAGTCACCCTCTCCCTATAAATAGAGGGTTCTATTTCATTGTAATTCATCCCAAAATTCAATAAGAATTCTCTCCCTACTTTTCTCTGCAATATTGTTCCTCTTCTTTTATTGTTCATAACACGTTATCAGCAGGAGACTCTAACCAATTGAGTAGAAGCTTTGGGATTGAGCATAATGATTGTCAATTATTCCATGAACTTCCTTCATGATTAAATTCTGGATTTAAGGTAAGTATTTTACCGTATTTTTCTCTTTTATTCTATACTTTGATTATAAATACAAGCAAAGACAACAAAGTATGATTATAACTCTAATGGAGTTTGTAAGAAATTATAACTACCTGAATGGTAAAATTTCTATGCCTCGCCATGATCAAATTCATGTATGATTGTGGGCAAAGAATTGAAAACCCGTCCCATTGAATTTGAAGAATTGAAAACCCGTCCCATTGAATTTGCTCCATTCTCATTCCCTTAAGAGAATGTGATAGCAGTATGTGATAAGTCTGAAAGAAGACAAAATTATTACTATGAACGTATCAATGGATATGGACGTGGCAATAGACGAAATTATAATCGTCATCATTTGTGGTAATGAGAACAATAAGGATTCTCAAAATAATCTTTCACTCTGTGAAAAATATTTGTCATCGATTTGACATGAGATTTTGTAAAGCACCTATAGATAATTATGGTCAATTCATGATGTGAATGTGACAACATCTGATTTATGAATACATATTCATTCTTCAAAGAATATGAACGTGCTAGTGGTAGTGAATATACTGCACTCACCATTAAAAGGAGGTTTGAGATGATATAAGAAAATAATGTCATTATTATGGCATGAATGGTCATTGGTCACGTACCTATTGTACGCCAAAATATTTTGGCATTGTGATTGTTAAAAGACAACGGTAATGCAAGAAACAGATCTTGCATATAATTTTGACCATAACCATAATGGTATAACTTTCTCTTTAAAAGAGATATTCACTATATGGGTGTTGATGAATATGTGGTACTACAATATTAATTGAGAACTCTGCAAGAGTCAATTATACTATTTTGGAGAAACACAATTAATTACCAATAAGGTATTGTGTTGTAGTAAGTCTCAAAGAAACTTATTCAGTTTCCAAAGTATACGCGAAAGCGGTTGATTATATTGAGACTATAAATAAAGGAAAGATTTAATATCTTCTATTACTACAACTTGTAGCGGGGTAATATGTATGTGAAAAGCTACTCGCTTTCTTCTCCAATTTGTACTACATAAACAAAAGAATACCACAATGAAGTGGATATTTATTGATATAAAAATCCATATCATAATAAACTTGGAGTTTATTCATAATTGCACACATCATGGTGTAAATCTGAAGTTTATCAATATTGATAATTTATCCAGTTGGCATAATTGGTTTAGCCATGTTAATTCAAGTATGATGTGCAAAAATAAAAGAGAATTCACATGGGTAAATATTAAAGAACTAGAAAGTTCTTTACGAATTCTCTTACATTGCTTGTTCTCATTAATTAATAGACCAATTAAAATTGGGATTGAATTCCATGAATGCTAGAAATATCAAAGGTGAATATGGGCCCATTCACCTACCATGTATACCACATAAGATGCATCTATGAGATGGTTACATGTGCAATTATTATTGACCCGCAACCTGGTGTTTGCGAGGTAACTTGCTCAATAATTTAATATAGAGCATAATTTCCAGATTTTTTATTCAAGTAGTTCATCTTGATAAGTTGGTTTACATCAGGTTTAGCAAAATGATTTAAGTGCCTCTACTTAATAGCTAAACAATTGCTTATGAGAACAAAGTTATCTATATCAGTTTGATATACGTTATATACCAAAGTATATTATTTTCTCCCCTCACAAGTGGTTCAGGGTCAGGAACCAAATAATTCCATCTTATTATTATTGATGTGCGGTGTATATTTTGATTAACACCATAATGCACAAAGATGGGTTCTCAAAGTTGAGGAAACAAGGTTTTTCTAACATGAGGAAGAGACAAGATACAACAGTTGAGAAAAAGTTACATGGAATGAATTATCATTTATACATCTAGATCCCCGAATAAAATAATATGAAATTGAAGTTCATAAAAGGATAATTAATTTGCAATATATTGCAAAGCATGCCAGACGCATTTGCTGACCCAAAGAAAGTAACTATATTCTCATTGCAAATGCTCATATTAAGTCCTAGAAGGACAAAGTCTATAGTAGGCTTAAAGCATATAGACAAATCGGTTTCAAATAAACTTCTTGATAAAGAAGATGAGCAAATGATCAAAATGATCATAATAAAGGAGGCAAGTGATCTAGAAGATCACATGACATAATGCTTCATAAAATCTCAAGAGAGATTCAGGTACCTGAAAATATGAATGAAGAGATCTCTATGTTATGTCTTTATGAAAAAATATTGAAATTGATATAAAATATTTGTCGACGACATCTATGATAGCGCTAAATATATATATGAGGATCTTAAGTCTGAAGAAACAATTCGAATAGAATTGGTTTCATATGAAAGACATGTAGTTTGAACATGTAGTTCAAACACTTGAAAGTACAAAGTCAATGGTATGTGCAATGAGTTTTCGATATTTTATATGTCTAGCATGACATGAAAACTTGATATGCATCTAAAGTCTATTATATGGCTTGTATGACTTAAAAATCCTTGAAGGATTTAAATTGCTTAAAGCATATAGAATTCATGGTCATGAAGTACTACATCCTCAGTGCAATTTGTGCGCAAATGTATCTTGCTATAACTATATGCATGATAATATGATAACAAGAGTTTTCACCTCTATGTGAAGATATTGAACTGACGATTCCAACAAGATCATATGAAGACAATCCATCTCTATCAAGAATGATGATTTCAAGGTGCAATATATTCATTCAAGTTAATATGGCTGATTTGTTTATCAAATATCTACCAAAGATCTTTTGAAGATGGTGCACAATATTGGAATGCAAATGCTAAAGGATATGAAGTGATTCTCTCATGAGGGGGAGTTAATACGCGTTGTACTCTTTTTCCCTTACAAGGTTTTGTACCACTGAGTTTTTCTTGCAAGGTTTTTAACGAGGCAACCAAAATGCATATTATTAGATATGTGTACTCTTTTTCCTTCTTTAGATTTTTTTTCCACTGGGTTTTATTTTAGTTAAGGTTTTAACGAGGCACATTATCTGTTGAATAGACATTCAAGGGGGAGTGTTATAAATAGAATTCTATTTAAGGTGAATGTCTATATTTAGAGAGATTCTAGGGTTCATTGCTTGGTGGTTAAGTCACCCTCTCCCTATAAATAGAGGGTTCTATTTCATTGTAATTCATCCCAAAATTCAATAAGAATTCTCTGCCTACTTTTCTCTGCAATATTCTTCCTCTTCTTTTATTGTTCATGACACTTTCTATTTATTCTAACGCTGTAAGCCTGTAACGCAACTTTTCTTAAATCTTTTTTTTTCTCTTTCTATTTATTCTAACGCTATAACGCAGCATTTTATATATCCCCTCCTACACAGAGATGACAATCCACACGGTTCCCCAATTCCCAAACATCAAAATTTTTCCCTAATTCCCAATCTCAATTTATCCCAAAAGGTAACGTTAAAAAGAAGAAGCAAAACCCTAGTTCCTATTTTGATTTTTTCTTGTCTCTTGTTCTTGTCTCTTGTTCTAAAAGCTAAAGCTAATCTTGATATCTTGTCTCCATTTACTCTCTGACTGCTTGTGCAATGCTATTTTCCAATTCCTCCAAGGTAAGGTCCAATCTTTTTTCTAAACTAGTTAATAAGTATTCTTGTAGGTTTATTCTGATTTTGGAATTTTTTTTTTCCTGTAACTACTGAATGAAGGAGATTTTTTCTGATTTAGTTTTGTTTTGATAACTTTTCTTGAGCTGATCCTTTTATTTTTGATTGATATTGAATTACCAGCCCACTTCGATTGTAGTAACCGGAAATCAGACAGTTTAGCATTTGTCAAGGTGTTGGTTAACATTTGTCAAAAGTTGCAGAAAAACTGGTAAGTTTTTATTTTATTTTAATTGAAATTGAAAGGGGTGTGATTCCTCTATTTTAATATGTTTGAAAGGGTGTGATTCCCTTATTTTCTTAAATACAGAAGGGGTGTGATTCTCTTGTTTATTATGAATTTAAAAGTGTGATTCCCTTAGTTTTATTATGAATTTGAATTTTGATGATGAGAGATATTTGAATTTGTAGGAACATCAAAATGGATAAATTTGTGATCAGGTCAAACATTGGCCAATCAAGTTCCAATGGTAGTAGTCAGCCTTCTATTAGTTCGAATATAGCTCCTGAAATCCAAAGAGGGACAATCTTATCCCCTCCTTCAAATGTTGATAGTGTTCTTGAGCTAGGATCTCCCAATCCTGATCCCAAAGAAAGAATACCGATTCTTCAGTATGCCCCTAATATCCGAGATGAAGTGAGGAGACATTATATTAAAAAAGGGGCTTGTCAACCGAGTGGCCATGCTTTCCCTAAAACTAAATTTGGGAACAAAATGCGTCAATTTAATCCCGATTGGTTTAAGGGTCCATATTCTCAATGGTTGGAATATAGCATAAAAAGTGATGTTGCATTCTGTTTGTGTTGTTATTTATTTAAGAATGAACTTGAAGTCGCGGTAATGCGGGAGATGCATTTACAAAAGATGGGTTTAAGGGTTGGAACAAGGGTACGGAAAGACTTAGAACGCATGTCGGGGAAGTAGATAGTATCCATCACAAATGTTTTAATAGGATGCAAGATTTGATAAATCAAGAACAATCGGTTCAATCTTCTTTTCACAAGCAAAGTGAGAAAGTAAAAAGTGATCATCGGATACGTTTAAATGCCTCGGTTGATGTGGTAAGATTTCTCTTGAGAAATGGATTGTCATTTCGTGGTCATAATGAAAGTGAAGATTTCGAATACAAAGGTCTTTTTCTTGAACTTTTGGAATTTCATGGGGATAAGCATTCAGATGTGGGAAAGGTAATATTACATAAAGCTCCAAAAAATGATATGATGATTTGTCCAGCAATTCAAAAGGATATTGTGGATGCTTGTGCTAAAGAAATAATTAAAGCTATTATCCAAGATTTGGATGATGACTTTTTTGGGATATTGGTTGATGAATCAAAGGACATCTCACATAAAGAGCAAATGGCCCTTGTTAAACGATATGTTAACAAAAGAGGGGAGGTGATTGAGCGCTTCTTGGGTATTGTCCATGTGAATGATACATCTACACTATCATTACAGAAAACAATTTATGATTTGCTTTTGGATCACTCGTTAAGCTCATCCATGCTACGTGGACAAGGTTACGATGGAGCTAGTAATATGCAAGGAAGAATAAATGGCCTAAAGTCTTTGATTTTACAAGATGTTCCATCTGCCTATTGTGTTCATTGTTTTGCCCATCAGTTGCAATTAACACTTGTAGCTCTTTCTAAAAAGCATCCGGATGTGAATAATTTTTTTGATGTTGTCCCTAACACATTGAACATTATTGTAGCATCTTTTAAACGCAGGGAAATACTTCGACAACACCAAGTAGAGAAGTTGAAAGAATTACTTAAGTCTGGAGAAATACTTACCGGACAAGGATTGAATCAAGAACGTGGGCTCCAACGACCGGGTGATACCCGTTGGGGTTCGCATTTTAAGACCTTGGAAAATTTCTTGATTATATTTTCTTTGATTGTTAACGTGCTTAAAGATATGCAATAAGATAGTCTTCTTTCTCTTGGTAGATTTGCAACGAAAAATCTTTTGGGTAATATTCAAGAATTTGAGTTTGTGTTTTTATTGCACTTGATGTTCAAGATGTTGCTTTTACAAATGAATTAAACAAAGTTTTACAAAAGAAAGATCAAGACATAGTCAATGCTATGAGGTTGCTTGACCTTGCAAAGATAAGATTGCAGACTATGAGAGAAAGTGAATTCGAGATCTTGATGAATGAAGTTTACTCGTTCTGTGGTAAACATGATATTATGATCCCCAAAATGGATGAAGACTATCCAAGATAGAAACAAAAGAGGTCGGGAGTTTCATATTCACATCACTTTGGTGTGGAAATATTTTATGCAGCTATTGATTTGCAGCTTCATGAGTTAAATAGTCGTTTTGATGTAGTGACTAGTGACTTACTCCTTGGTATGGCTTCTTTGAGTCTGATTGATTCATTTGCTAATTTTGACAAAGACAGAATAATGAAGTTGGCCGAGTATTATCCAAGTGAGTTTGATGACAACAAGCTTCGAGATCTCAGCTTTCAGCTTGATAGTTTCATTGTCTATGCTCGAATGCCTCATAGCAAATTTATCAACTTGAAGGGAATGAAGGATCTTGCTATAGTGATGGCAGAGACGAAATTGGATCAAACTTGGTGTCATATTTATTTACTTGTGAAGTTGACTTTGATTCTACCTGTTGCTACTGCAAGCGTGGAAAGGGCATTCTACTCAATGAAGCTCATAAAAAGTGATCTACGTAATAGCATTAGTGAAGAGTTTTTGAATGGTTTTTTAGTTTGCAATATAGAGCGTAAGGTATTTGCAACTGTAAGTAATGATGCTATTATTGATCGTTTTCAAAGTATGAAAACTCGTCGCGTACAATTGTAAATTGATAATATTTATTTTTGTGGTAATGAAACTAATTGTTTTTTGCTCGGTAAGTTGTTGTGATTGTAAAATTTTATATTATCAAACTAAATGTTAATCTTGAAAGTAATGGTGCACCCATCGTCCGGAATTTCTAGATCCGCCTCTGCATGCCATGTATTATTTTAAAGATGAAAGCTATCTATAATTGTGAGACTCATTTAGCGGAAAGGAGGATTGAATACAAAAAGTAATTACCTTAATGAATTGAGCAACCTCTCAGCTGCACATGCTTCTTGCAAAGCATCAGTAGCTGCAAAGAGAGCAATTTACTATTCTGCATGGCAGAACTAGAAGATAGGGGTAAGAATTCTGAAGAGAAGTTGAAATGAAACTATTTTTGTCGATGATGAGGATACTACTGAGGGGACATCGTTGCCTCAATGTGTATTTGTTTCGCAAAAATGATGTTATTGTCGTCCTGTGACGCGGATTTACATATGGTGTCTTGATTACCCTTCCCCTCTCTCAAACTTCTATATCTTCTTGAGTGCTATGGACTGTTGGAGGAGAATTAATGTCCATTTCTCAATGTAAGAGCTCTGTTCTTGCTCGCAGAAGAACGATCTTAAATAACTTGTGAGTGGCGGCCATGAATTTGTATTCCCAGTTATTTACTTGAATGAAGCCATTTATGGATCCATTCAAGCAGGGAGGCTCACTCATACAAGCAGCTTGGAAGTTGGCAGAGCCACAGAAATTTGATGAAGACTACAAGTAGGGGGTGAAAGTGGACCAGTTTCTTGCTAAGAGGTGGTGAGAATTATAAAAAAGAAAATTGAGATCGCAAGCTATGAAGTGCTGTTTGAGCGATCGACAAACAAGTACTCATTTGCTGAAGCAGCAAAAGCACAACAGTAAACTATACCGAAATACCGAAATATCAAAAACCCAATACCGTATACCAAATCGAATTACCGAAATAACAAAATGTTTGTACCGAAATAAACCAAAATACCGAATAAACCGAAATCGAAATACCAAATTAATTCGGTTTAGTTTAGAATTCGGTTTTTCGGTTTTTATGCCCACCCCTATTGGACCGTATGAATTTACACGATTCTCGCGCAACTATAGAGCCCAAACACATGAGCCTCTTTCAAACTTTTTCCTTCTGCCTCAATTCTGAAGCCCAAATATCGTCCTTTTAAATTAGTTGCTCAACTAGAACCCAAACTTTTCCATCTTAATTTGTGGCTTTACTATTCTGCTTTTGTTTTAAATTCACAATTTCAGGCTCTGAAATAAATATCTAATTGGTTTCATAATTGAACTTCTTCTTTTTATAATCAGAAGAAAAGTTATTTTGGAAAACAAATTTGACTTTGAGAAGAAATTCAGAAGACGTGTTCTCTAGGGCATGCATGATGGGGTTTCTTTTCTTTCAGAGGCATGAGTAGTAAATTGCATATTACATTCGCAACAACATAATCAACAAAGAAATCAGTTCACATAAGGGTCAACAAATGAATAACTTTCTTAGTAATAATTTCCTTATATTGCTTAGCAAAAAGATATGACACAGTGAATAAAAAAGATTTATATAGTCAAATTTTATTAGTAGCAAATATGTTTTAGATTTTAGCACTTTACTTTAGGTCTTATGCTTTTTAAAAGCGATTTGGGCTTTTCAGATATTTGTTACCTCTAATAAATATACATCATTTCTAATAATATTTTGCTGTATTTGCATAATATTGGCATAAGATGAATTTAAAATTGACATGAGATGAGTTTACATGAAGTATTGTAGTCAGCCAAGATTTATATGTGATGACCCAAAGGGTCATCACCTGTTTCCTCATTCATTATGTGCTTCCGAGGCCTTGAAAACCTCATTTTTACTTGCCTCGATTTGCGTGCGCAGTCCGGGCACGTAGCCGGAAAGCTTTTTATGTTGAAATATGTGAATTCTGTGAAAAATTTAAAGAATTTTGATATTAATATGTTTAAGGTTGACTTCGGTCAACATTTTTGGTAAACGAACCATGACTCGAGATTGGACGGTCCCGGAAGGTCCGTAGAAAAATATAGGACTCGGGCATGTGCCCGGAGTCGAATTCCGAGGTCTAGAGCCCGATAAATGAATTTTTCTGTGAAATTGTTTTCCTGAAATTATTAAGGAAAATGGAAATGAAAATTTGTTAAAAGACTGTGATATCGGGCTCGTATTTTGGATCCGCAGGCCCGGCGTCTCTTCTTATTGTTTTCTTTTAGACTGTTGCCTCCTTGTTTCGAGACAAACAACTGTTATATTTCTTTCAGACCTTTGTATTTAGTTTATTCTTAGTGATTCGTGAGTAATGTGACACCAAATCTTGGGTAGAGGTTGTTTTTGACTATTCCGCGTTTTAAATTCATCATTTTAAGACAGACTTCCGCTATTGTTCTTATTAGACTTTATGTTCTATATTGATGTTATAACTGTTAAACATAATTGCTAGTGATGGAAAGGTAATTAAGTTGGCTTGCCTAGCTACCACGAGTAGGCGCCGTCACGACTCTGATGGTGGGAAATCCGGGTCGTGACAAGTTGGTATCAGAGCACTAGGTTACATAGGTCTCACAACTCACGGACAAACTTAGTAGAGTCTGAGGGGTAGGTACGGAGACGTCTGTACTTGTTCCCCAGAGTCTATTGAGTTAGGAAAAATCTCTCATCTGTTCTTTCTTGTCGTGCGATTTGGTTTCTTAAATACTGATTGAATTTCCACTCTGTTCTTTCGCAGATGGCGAGAACACGCGCTTCCTCATCCACCGATCAGCAGTCCGAGCCCCAGGCAGCTCCCGCTAGGGGCAGAGGACGTGGCCGTGCTGGGGGCCGAGGTAGCGGCAGGGCCCAGCCACCAGCAGCAACACCAGTGGCGGACACTCAGGGTGACCTTGGCGAGAAGGTTCTGGCCCAGGCTCAGACAGTTCCGGTGGGCCCAGCTCAGGTCCCAGAGGGGTTTATTGCTACCCCAGTTCTTCAGGATGCCTTGGTCCGGTTGGTTGGTCTCATGGAGAGTGTCACCCGAGCAGGATTGCTCCCTACAGCACCAGCCGCTTCCCAGGCTGGAGGAGGAGCCCAGACTCCTGCTGCACGTACCCCGGAGCAGGTAGCTCCCCAGACTCAGATCCCACCGGGCCAACCAGCTGTGGCAGTTCAGCCGGGGGTAGTTGCACAGGCCGGTGATGGAGCGGCTATGTCCGCTGATGCTTTGTGGAGGCTGGACAGGTTCACCAAGCTTTTCACTGCTACATTCAGCGGAGCTTCTTCTGAGGACCCCCAGGATTTCTTATACAGCTGCCACGAGGTTCTTCGAAACATGGGCATTGTGGAGTCCAATGGAGTTGATTTTGCGGCTTTTCGTCTATCCGGATCCGCCAAGACTTGGTGGAGGGATTACTGTTTAGCCAGACCAGCAGGGTCGCCGCCTCTGACTTAGGATCAGTTTTCAGAGTTGTTCCTGGAGAAGTTTCTCCCCGTTACTCAGAGGGATGCTTATCGGAGGCAGTTCGAGCGCCTCCAGCAGGGGTCTATGACAGTCACTCAGTATGAGACCCGGTTTATCGATCTAGCTCGCCATGCCCTCGTCATACTTCCCACTGAGAGGGAGAGGGTGAGGAGATTTATTGACGGTTTGATCCAGCCCATTCATCTTCAGATGGCCAGAGAGGCGGGTAGTGACATTACGTTTCAGGAGGCGGCCAATGTGGCCCGGAGGATCGAGATGGTTCTGCCACAAGGGGGTGGTCATAGGTCAGACAAGAGACCCCATCACTCAGGTCGATTCAGTGGTGCCTCACCTGGAGGCAGGGATTCTTATGATAGGGGTCAGTCTTCCAGGCCCTTTCAGTCAGCCCTCCAGGCTTCGCAGGGTGCTCCAGGCGATCGTGGTTCTCGTGGGCAGTATTCTGATCAGCAGCCCATCAGTGCACAGCCCCTTCAGAGTTTTTGTGGAGGTCACTCGGGTCGTCAGGGCCAGTCTCATCGTACAGAGGGATGTTATGAGTGTGGCGAGTATGGTCACATCAGGAGAGCTTGCCCAAGATTGAGGGGTACACAGTCACAGCAGCAGGGTCCTCGCCCCATGATTCAGGCACCAGGTGACCCACAGCCTGCCCAGCCAGCCAGGGGCAGGGGTAGGGATCATAGAGGTGGAGGTCGAGACCCTAGAGGTGGAGGCCGGACCGCCAGAGGTAGGGGTCAGCCGGTAGCCGATCGTCCCAGAGACATGGTTCAGGGAGGTGGGGCTGATCCCCGGTTTTATGCTTTACCAGCCAGACCAGAGGCCGAGTCGTCAGATGCCGTTATTACAGGTACTATTCTGGTTTGCGATAGAGATGCGTCAGTGCTATTTGACCCTGGGTCTACATATTCATATGTGTCGTCTTATTTTGCACCCTGCCTGGCTATGTCTAGTTATGCTTTGGACATTCCTGTTTATGTATCTACACCGGTGGGTGACTCTATAGTAGTTGACCGGGTGCATCGTTCCTGTGTGGTTGTGTTTGAGGGTCTTGAGACCCGTGTTGATTTACTGCTTTTAGACATGGTGGATTTCGACGTTATATTGGGGATGGATTGGTTGTCCCCGTATCATGCCATCTTAGATTGTCACGCCAAGACCGTGACCTTGGCTTTGCCAGAATTGCCCCGACTAGAGTGGAGAGGGACTTCAGGTCATGCCACTCGCAGTGTTATTACATATGTCAAGGCTCGACGCATGGTCGAGAAGGGGTGTTTAGCTTATCTGGCGTATGTTCGCGACTCCAGCGCAGAGGTTCCTTCTATTGACTCTGTTCCTATTGTTCGAGAGTTCCCTGAGGTTTTCCCTTCAGACCTGCCGGGCATGCCGCCCGACAGAGATATTGATTTCTGTATTGATCTGGCTCCGGGCACGCAGCCCATTTCTATTCCGCCGTATCGCATGGCCCCGCCAGAGTTGAAGGAGTTAAAGGACCAGTTGCAGGAATTACTAGAGAAGGGTTTTATCAGGCCTAGTGTTTCTCCTTGGGGTGCGCCGGTGTTATTTGTGAAGAAGAAGGATGGTTCGATGCGGATGTGTATTGATTACCGACAGTTGAACAAGGTGACGATAAAGAACAAGTATCCATTGCCGAGAATTGATGATTTGTTTGACCAGCTTCAGGGAGCAAAGGTGTTTTCAAAGATAGACTTGAGATCTGGCTATCATCAGCTGAAGATTAGGGCGTCTGATGTCCCTAAGACGGCGTTCCGCACTCGGTATGGGCACTATGAGTTTTTAGTCATGTCATTTGGTTTGACCAATGCCCCAGCAGCGTTTATGGAGTTGATGAACCGAGTGTTCAGGCCATATCTAGACTTATTCGTGATAGTCTTCATTGATGACATCTTGGTGTACTCTCGCAGCCAAGAAGAGCACGAGCAGCACCTCAGAGTGGTTCTTCAGACTCTGAAAGATAGTCAATTATATGCTAAGTTTTCGAAGTGCGAGTTCTGGTTGAGTTCGGTTGCATTTCTGGGTCATATTGTATCAGCAGAGGGTATTCAGGTGGACCCGAAGAAGATTGAGGCAGTCAAGAATTGGCCTCGACCAGCTTCAGCGACCGAGATTCGGAGTTTCTTGGGGTTAGCAGGTTATTACCGTCGGTTCGTGGAGGGATTTTCTTCTATTGCAGCCCCGATGACCAGATTGACCCAGAAGGGTGCCCAGTTCAGATGGTCAGATGAGTGTGAGGCGAGCTTCCAGAAGCTCAAGACAGCTCTGACCACGGCACCGGTGTTGGTTTTGCCCACGGGTTCAGGGCCTTACACGGTCTATTGCGATGCTTCCCGTATTGGACTTGGAGCAGTATTGATGCAGGATGGCAAGGTTATTGCTTATGCTTCGAGACAGTTGAAGATCCACGAGAAAAATTATCCGGTTCATGATCTAGAGTTGGCAGCGGTTGTTCATGCTTTAAAGATTTGGAGGCATTATCTATATGGTGTGACGTGTGAGGTGTACACGGATCACAAGAGCCTGCAGTATCTGTTCAAGCAGAAGGAGTTGAATGTGAGGCAGAGGAGATGGCTAGAGTTGTTGAAAGATTATGATGTTACTATCTTATATCACCCGGGTAAGGCCAATGTGGTGGCCGATGCATTGAGTAGGAAGTCCGCCAGCATGGGTAGTCTTGCTTATATTCCGATCAGCCAGAGACCGGTTGCTTTGGATATTCAGGCCTTGGCCAATCGGTTTGTGAGGTTGGACATTTCTGAGGCTAGCAGAGTGTTAGCTTGCACGGTCGCTCGTTCTTCATTATTGGATCGTATCCGTGATCGGTAGTTTGATGATCCCCATTTGTGTGTCCTGAGAGACACGGTGCAGCGTGGAGGTGCCACGAAGGTGACCTTAGATGATGATGGTGTTTTGAGATTGCAGGGGCGAGTTTGTGTGCCCAATGTCGATGGGATTCGAGAGTTGATCTTAGCGGAGGCCCATAGTTCTCGGTATTCTATTCACTCGGGCGCCGCGAAGATGTATCAGGACTTGCGGCAGCATTATTGGTGGCGTAGGATGAAGAAGGATATTGTTGCGCATGTGGCTCGGTGTTTAAACTGTCAGCAGGTCAAGTATGAGCATCAGAGGCCTGGTGGTTTGTCTTAGAGGATTGAGCTTCCCGAGTGGAAGTGGGAGAAGATTACCATGGATTTCATTACTGGACTTCCGTTGACTCGGAAGAAGTTTGATGCTATTTGGGTCATTGTTGATAGGCTGACCAAGTCAACGCATTTCATTCCAGTAGCAGTCTCCTATTCATCCGAGAGGTTAGCTGAGATTTATATCCGGGAGATTGTTCGCCTTCATGGTGTGCCGGTATCTATCATTTCGGATCGGGGTACGCAGTTTACCTCGCGCTTCTGGAGAGCGGTTCAGCAAGAGTTAGGTACCCAGGTTCAGTTGAGCATAACGTTCCATCCTCAGACGGACGGTCAGTCCGAACGGACTATTCAGATTTTGGAGGATATGCTCCGGGCGTGTGTCATGGATTTTGGAGGCTCGTGGGACTAGTTTCTGCCTTTAGCAGAGTTCGCCTACAACAACAGTTACCAGTCCAGCATTCAGATGGCTCCAATATGAGGCGTTGTATGGTAGGCGATGTCGGTCTCCAGTCGGATGGTTCGAGCCGGGAGAGACTCGGTTATTGGGTACAGACTTAGTTCAGGGGGCCTTAGATAGGGCCAAGATTATTCAGGAGAGGCTTCGTTCAGCTCAGTCTAGGCAGAAGACTTATGCAGATCGTAAGGTCCGAGATGTAGCTTTCATGATCGGAGAGCGAGTATTGCTCTGGGTGTCGCCTATGAAGGGCGTGATGAGATTCGGAAAGAAGGGCAAGCTTAGCCCTAGGTACATTGGTCTGTTTGAGATTCTTGATCGAGTAGGAGAGGTGGCTTATAGGCTTGCATTGCCACCTAGCTTATCAGCCGTGCATCCAGTTTTTCATGTGTCTATGCTTCGGAGGTATCACGGCGATCCTACCCATGTATTAGACTTCAGCACGATCCAGTTGGACAAGGATCTGTCATATGAGGAGGAGCCGGTAGCTATTCTAGGCCGGCAGGTTCGACAGCTATGGTCGAAGAGTTTTCCTTCTGTTCGTGTTCAGTGGAGAGGTCAGCCCCCCGAGGCCTCGACCTGGGAGTCCGAGTCTGACATGCGGAGCCGTTATCCACATCTATTTCCTGACTCAGGTACTTCTTTCTTTTGTCCGTTCGAGGACGAACGGTTGTTTTAGAGGTGGAGGATGTGACGACCCAAAAGGTCATCACCTGTTTCCTCATTCATTCTGTGCTTCCGAGGCCTTGAAAACCTCATTTTTACTTGCCTCAATTTGCGTGCGCAGTCCGGGCGCGTAGCCGGAAAGCTTTTTATGTTGAAATATGTGAATTCTGTGAAAAATTTGAAGAATTATGATATTAATATGTTTAAGGTTGACTTCGGTCAACATTTTTGGTAAACGGACCCGAACTCGAGATTGGACGGTCCCGGAAGGTCCGTAAAAAAATATGGGACTCGAGCATGTGCCCGGAGTCGAATTCCGAGGTCTAGAGCCCGAGAAATGAATTTTTCTGTGAAATTGTTTTTCTGAAATTATTAAGGAAAATGGAAATGAAAATTTGTTAAAAGATTGTGGTATCGGGCTCGTATTTTGGTTCCGCAGGCCCGGCGTCTCTTCTCATTGTTTTCTTTTAGACTGTTGCCTCCTTGTTTTGAGACAGACAGCTGTTATATTTCTTTCAGACCTTTGTATTTAGTTTATTCTTAGTGGTTCGTGAGTAATGTGACACCAAATCTTGGGTAGAGGTAGTTTTTGACTATTCCGCGTTTTAAATTCATCATTTTAAGACAGACTTCCGCTATTGTTCTTATTAGACTTTATGTTCTATATTGATGTTATAAACTGTTAAAGATAATTGCTAATGATGGAAAGGTAATTAAGTTGGCTTGCCTAGCTACCACGAGTAGGCGCCATCACGACTCTGATGGTGGGAAATCCGGATCGTGACATTATATGTCTGACTTAACTTATTTAAGAGTGAGACATAATTATTATCGTTGTTGTAATGAAATGGAAATAACAAAAAGAGGGATGAGAACCAACTGAGGCAAAATCATGTAATGAATGACTATTTTGGTTTATGGGATTCATAAACTTAAAGGACATTAAAAAAAAAAGGAATTTTTACCTCCTATAGTAAAGGATAATACCTTATTTATTTTAAATAGATACCATTCAAAAAATTATATTCTATAGATACCTTTTAAGGTTTATAGCAAAATATTTAATTTTGGTTACCTCCTAGCCCTAAGCCACTAAATACGCTAATCAGTTATACTATTTTCTTTCTCTCTCTACTTTAATACATCCCATTCTCTTCCCCATCCCATTAAAATTCCTACAGTATGTTTTCACTTCCGGATCCATAATCAAACCCTCCGACCCTAAAAATCAACCCTACAAGGATCGATTTTGATAAAAAATCCCCTATAACCACAATTACAAGGATCCGTTGCAATTACAATTGCAGAAGATCTTCCTTGCTTGCCTTCAAGAACTTCGAACCATTGAACATTATCAAGGACTGTGAACTTCTCTTTGATAGCATCCTTAAGAGAGAGCCAGATTCTTCGTCCTTACGTTGCAATTACAATTACAGAACATTATCATGCTGTATTTTCATGTATTTCATTGTATTCATTGTCTTTTTTTCATTGTAATTCAATGTATCTCGTTGTATTCCATGTATTTCATTGTATTCACTGTCTTTTTTTCTTATTGTATTTCAATGTATCCCACTGTATTATATGTATTTCATTGTATTCACTGTCTCGCTATATGCCATGAATGTATTAATATTTTTTTTTTAATTAACATAATTTATGTATTTAGATGTATTATATAATTTCTCTGAAGATTGCTATGTTTTTGGGTATTTTTCGATTGAGAATCTTTTTTATAACTGACAATACAAAATTTGTGGGTTATAATTGAGTTTGTTGAGTTATATTAGGAGTATATTATGTTAATTGATTCACTTTCCGTTTAAAAAACAGTGTAATCCCCTATTTCACACCGTGAATACAGTCGAATACAATAATCTGTCCAGCTGTAATCCCATGTTTCACTCCATGTATACAGTCGAATACACTCGAATACAACAACTAATTAGCTGGACTTCCCTGATTCACGCCTATTTTTGCTACTGTATTCATAAATACAATAGCTTAAATACATCAAATACATCTTATAACCACAGAAAATGTATCTATAATCCGTAATATAGCAAATGGTATCTATAGATAGCTAATTACTACTAAAAGATAGTGCTTTATGAAAATTTCTCTAAAAAAAAACATACTTAGAGCATCTCGAACGCTACAACATTTTTTTTGGCCAAAATGTGGCTCCAATACTTCCCCATTGTTGACTGCAAAATCGGGGATGAATAGTGTTACTCCAAATTTGGAGTGACACTATTCATCTCCTCCATTATTATTCATCCTTACTTTATTATCATTTTTATTATTTAACTATTTTAATTTATCTCTTTATATATACCTAATTATATATGTAATATCTTTATAATATTAATTTTACATCTTAACTTTGGCGTATAATTTTGATAAATTAATTTTTGTGCATTCATTATTTTTATGTGAAATTGTAAGTTAATTTTATTATAAGTTATAATTCTAAAAAAAATATATAATCATCTCAAAAAATAAATGGTGCAAATATAAATATTAGATGTTGCTAAAATTGAAAGGTGCGAATATAAAATATTAGATGTTGCTAAAATGGAAAGGTGAGAATTGAAAATACATTAAAATTGAAAATAGATCATTTAAAATTAAAAATTGAAAGATGTTCATTTTGCACTTCGTAATGCATTAATAGGTCATTTATGGGAGCATACTAGAGGTGGAAGTTGAATATTTATGTAATATTTAATCTGAATGTTACCATAATGTAATATGTATTTAATTATCTTGTATCTCAATGATTTCACTTTTATTTTAATTATCCATTAATATATATATATATATAATCTATAATATTTGCTTAAAATTATATTATTTAAAAATTTATGGTATAAAATAATTTTATATTAAATGGTTATATAAGAAAGGAATATAAATTATATGTGATAAATATGTAAAAAAGATAAAAAGATAGAATTTCTTTAATAGAAATAAGAAAATTAAATTTGAATAAAAGATAA